GGCTAGTAAGTCCTAATGCTGTGGCTATCTGAGTGACGATGCCTCCTACGTGAATGATCCCTTCAGAGGACCTATTTGTGCCCTCGAGATGATTTAGCAAGAAGTTACCACATGCCACTTGGCATGACTGGTTTGCACAAAATAGGAACAAGATCTCTTCCTCGCTAACATGAATATCAGAGTCAGCCTTTCCGAGGAAAGTGTGGGCCAGGACCATCTAAAAATATCTCAAAGCTAGGTTGTGGATGACTGGAGATAACTGAGTGGATGGGTCGAGGCTTCCTCTTCCTATGATGTCACTCCAGAATTGGTCGATGTCTCGACTCATAAAATAACCCATCGGCAGATCCGGTATAGCATCAGGGATGGTCTGGAATTCGAGCAGAACGCCGAACTCCTTCAGGGTGAAGGCATACTCTGTCCCGAAAAGTCTGAATATGGTCATTCCGTCCTGACCAATGTATGGCTCATGGAGGAAGGAGCTAAGGAACTCCAGAGTAAGGTGCCTGTAGGTCTGGTGTAACTCATCAGCATATGCATCCCACTGGAGCTGATGGCAGAGAAATCGTATGTTGCGCTCAATGCCTAAGGCATCCATGCAGGCTTGATCTGGGTACCGGGTAGGTGCCATAGGACGCTGCTGAAGAATTAAGTATCTCTGTCTCTGGTTTTCGTCCCTAAAGGCGACGTGCATATCGTCAAGAGGCTGCATCCTGCAAGTAAAATTTAGAAAACGAGACCTGAAAGTACAAGCATCATGAACAGTTAGTTGACACATAACAAAATAATAATTACTAAAGGAAAATAAAATAAAATAAAAGATAAGTAAAGAAAATTAAATAAAATTATGGTTTGCCTCCCAGAAAGCGCTTGTTTAACGTCGTTAGCTTGACGAGTAGAACATATGTGGTTGAAGTAGGCAGTGGTGGATCAATCAAGGTGTGGCTGGAGTAATCATTGGGAATGTCACCTCCTTCGTAGTATTTCAATCTCTGCCTGTTTACAATGGATGGGCTACATGACTCGCTCTGGATCTCGACTGCTCCTGATTTTAAGACTTTAGTAACTGTAAAAGGACTTGTCCACCTTGAAAGAAGCTTGCCAGGAAAGAGTCGTAATCTGGAATTGAATAGGAGAGTAGGGTCTCCTATATGGAATTCTTCTAGCTTATGAATATCAAGGACGCGGTTTTCTCCAACAGTCAAATAGTCAAAGTTTAGGGTCTTTATGGCCCAATAAGCCTTGTGTTCAAACTCAAATGGTAGATGACATGACTTTCCATAGACCAATTGGTAAGGAGTTGTTCCAATAGGGGTTTTGAAGGCGGTTCTATAGGCCCATAATGCATCTTGCAGCTTCTGAGACCAATCTTTTCTCGATATAGAAACCGTTTTCTCTAAAATATGTTTGATCTCTCTATTGGATACTTCTACCTGACCATTAGTCTATGGATGGTAAGGTGTCGCTATCCTATGCTTAACTCCATATTTTCTTAAAAGCTTGATGAAAATTCTTGATATGAAATACGATCCACCATCGTTGATGATAAGACGGGGTGTTCCGAATCTAAGGAATATGTAATTCTTAAACAACTTTATAACTACACGTGTGTCGTTGGTGGTGAGGCTATGGCTTCAATCCATTTAGACATGTAGTCAACTGCTACTAAGATATATTTGTTTCCTAAGGAAGACGGAAATGGTCCCATGAAATCAATGCCCCAAACATCGAAGAGTTATACCTCTTGAATATTTCTTAAAGGCATTTCGTCACGCCGGGAGATGTTCCCAGTGTGCTGGCACCGGTCACATTTAATTATATAGGCGTGCACATCACGCCATATTGTGGGCCAAAACAGGCCTGCTTTAAGAGTCTTGGCGTGTGTTTTAGAGGTGCTAGTGTGTCCTCTGTAGGGTGCAGAGTGGCAGTGCTCAATGATCTTTCTTACCTCTTCTTCTAGGACATAACAGCGAAAAATACCATCAGTTCCTCTTTTAAAAAGGAGTGGTTCATCCCAATAGAAGTGGCTTACGTTGCTAAAGAACTTCTTTCTCTACTGGTAGTTAAAGTCAGGGGTATAATGTCGGCAGCTAGATAATTTACAAAATATGTGTACCAAGGTATGTTATTTACTGCCAGAGATCTCTCGGGGTTCTTATGAGGATTTAGGTTATTCTCTTCTATGGCTTCTATCATAGCTATTAACTTGTCATAGTGTCGCGGTGAAATTTGGATACCAAACTATTGATTAGTTTGATCATATTCATTTGCAACCGAACTTTGATTTGTCCAAAGGAAGGGATAAAGATCGAAATTCCCACAATGCAATACAAATGCAAGCTAGAGAGTTATAGGTTCGGGGGTCGGTTAAACTTAGAGAAGGTGCTAACATCCTAAGTTTTTGTAGTACTCTACAGAAACCTCTTGTTTTATGTTTGTTTATTGCTAAGGTTTATTTGCTTAATGGTTGGAAGACCCTAGGGGTTTATTTCTAAGTATACTCGATAATGTATCGCATCTTATACCTACATATCCTTACGGGAGTGGAATCAGAGTATCTGTAGTTCCCCTAAAGGGTTTGAGGAGTTCTTTGACTGTGGTCAAAGTTCCTACGGGTTTAGGGTAGTTGATTGATTGATTTTAGGAGAAAAGATGAGTTGTCATTTTAAGGGAGATTACTTTGATTTAACCGCCACAACTTTGTAGGAAAATAGTCTTTGCATCGTCTTAAGAGAAGGGCTCAAGTACTCGGATATTGATCGACGAGTACGCCTCTATCTCTCTTAAGGCAAAGTCCCTACGGATTGATTGTATTGGTGTGGGGTGGAAGTTCTATCTCGCTTAGGATGATTAACATCTTTTTCTCTATTGTGTTTGAATATTGTTGTATTGAGTTGTTGTTTTGTATCTAAGTTGTAAAAGATAACGGTCCTTCCTATGGGGTAGGATCTAACTTAGAAAGATCAACTTGAATGAGATCAAGGATCAAGTGGGAGTATGATGCAAATGATGTGCACTACACACAAGTGTTGACTCATGTGTAGGTTTTTCCTTTGGACGGAATGCGATGCAATAATATAAATGTGAGGGTATAAAGCTGCGAATAAAGTAAAGGTAGGTAAATAAGGCATACACAGACGCATGAAAGCGCTGAAGTGTGTGAGAATGGATGTGAAGTGTAAGGACAGAGAGAGGCGTAAACGTGCACGATTGAATGCATTTTGTGTGAGTTGATTGTTTTTAGGCAAGGTTGAATTGATTTTAGTTGATGTTAATTGTGAGAGGTTTGATTTTAAGAAAAAGTTAAATCTAGTTTTAAAAGGTTTTAGGTGACTTGATTTTTAGGGAGTTTAGATTAATTATCTTAGTTTTAATAAAATGTTTTCTATTAAAGGTGAATTAAATTCTAAGTAGGAATTTTAAATAAAAGGATTCTTAAAAAAAAGGTTTTATATCTTATTAAAAAAAAAGGAATTGTTCAATTTTAATAAAAATGTTATGACCAATTAATTAAATTATTATAAAAACAGATTTTAATATTATATAAAAAAAGTTGTTGTTATTATTAATGGATAGAAGTTAATTAAATTAAAAGTTTTGGTAAAAGGCTTTTTTATTAAACATAAATTATGAAAGATAAGAGTTAATTTAAATTATAAAAGAGGTTTTTAATAAAATAGCCTTAGTTATTGTTTGTTTGATTAAATAAAGATTGATTAATTATTAATTAAATAAATTGTTTTAAATAAAAATTATTTTAATTAAGATTACTAATTAAGGATTAGTTAAAAAACTGATTAGGTGATTAATTGGATTAATGGGATGAATGTGATTTGGTGCGGCGTAGGAGCATGAGATTTATTGTAGGGCGCAATCTGGGGCGATGATTGTGTCAGATGTTGGATCTGACGAGTGTATGTGAGTGGTGTACCGTAACTACGGTAGTGTGTGTGCATACAGGATTACAACATAAAAACAAACAAACAAGAAAAAAAAACAGAAGCCCTAAATCCCAAATTGGATCTTCTTCTCTCTCTGCCGATTTCCTCATCTCCCCTCCTTCTTCACGAATCGTGAACTTCTCCTTCTTCGACTCAACCTTCTTCTCTTTAATTTCATCTCTTCCACCTTCTTCTACCATCGCCTTTCTCTCTTGTCTCCGATCTCCGTTTTCCTTATTCGATTTTCCTGGAAAAAAACACACACTAATCAATAGTACAAAACTAACGATGCAAATAGATTACCTCCGTAGGTTCTCGGTGGTCGACGGAGAAATGGAAATGGCGAAGGTTTGATTTGCATACGGAAAGGGCGAACTTGCCGATGATGGCGGTCGAGGTGACAACGGCGCTAAGGTTACGAGAAAGATAAGTTCTTCTCCCTCTTGTGATTTATAATTTTAGGGTTTCTCTGTGTGTAGGGATTCCGTCTAGGTTGTGAGTTTGGGATTGTGAATTTGGGATTTCTGTGAGGAATTTTGAGGATTGCTCATCTGCGATGTTCGCATGGATTTTTTTTTTGAACCTCCTCGTGGATTCCTCTTGTTTTATAGACTGTTTTGGGCCAACAGACTTTAATTGAGAATGAATCTCCTTCCATTTTCGCCTTGTGTACCTTAATAACCTTCCTTATATACTTGATTATGTTGGTGATTACTGATGTGGATTTCATATTCCAGATTGGTGTTGAGCTGATTTTGGAAGGGAAACATCCTGTTACTAATGGTATGTTTGATTACGCTTTTCAAATTTGCTGACTTCATATCGGTATTCTGTTACTCCCTTTCTTCAATTAACTTTAAATTCTTCTGGTGTATTGTTCTAATGCTGCCTGTTATCTCTGCTTCCACAAGGTATGCTAAAAGTTTATCGGTCGATCGAATCCAAGCAGATAAAGTATAACGCAATCCCTTCCGTAGATAAATCTTCTGGGAGACACTATCATATGGTTGTTTCCTGCTATGTGCTACAACGAATTTGTTGCCTAATGATTCTCGATGTTCAATTTGCTTCACCAAATGTTGTCCAACCTTGCAGTCCATCGTTGAGTTTTGGGTTTTGAATGATTCCTCCATTGTGTAGAGGATTTTCAGGATGTGCTAAACATTCGACGCTGGCACTGTAATCATAGGATAATGCTTCAGCTTCAAACCCTGAGTGTAGTATGAAATAGAACAGAAGAACAATACTCATGTTTTTGTATCAATCCTTTGAAAGATGAATAAAAAAGAAAATAATGGGACTAAAATTATTATAGAGAAAGAACTGATATTCTGTTGAACTAATTTGGAACTAATTGGTCTCGAATATCGGTTATGTTGAACAGGTGGTAGGTGATGGAAATGTTGAGACAACTCTGGACAAATCCCTGAAGCAAAATTCAATTTACTTTTCTTCCACTGTCCTGTTCTGCTGGTTGTCTTGGGTTTGTTCTGCAGCGAGCTTGCTCTTGGAGGAAGCCTAGTCAAATAACCGAATTCGAGTTCATAGGAGATGGCTGGACTTGTGGTTGCTGATAAAACTCTTCTTTGACTTTGTGCAGTACAAGAAAGAAGCAGAAGAAGCATGGTCTACGCAAATCATTGATTGTCATGGCATGAAATTACTTTTAAGAGAATTCAATACTAACTCCAACAAGTGAATGAGTTCACTGTGCCTGGATTTCCTTGCAGAAGGCTTCCACTACCCTTTTCTTTATTTAATCTTAGCAGCTGGTGGTGAGGAAGTTTGGACGTGGGCGACGGAGTTTTGAATTAAGGTAAATCATAAACTTCTCACTCTTTCAACTCTGAAGGAATCCCCCTCCAACAGTTATTCTTGTTTTTAAACCTTTATACGATACTTATTTGTCATATCTTCGTGTTTTTCAGACTTTGATCTCATCCACTTACGGAAAGGAAATTGTCGAGACAGCTGTCGGGTTTTCAGCGGGATAAAGGTTGACTGAATTCTCATGTATGCTGCCCAGGTTCCCACCCTACTGGATGCAAGCGGAATCAAGAATCGTCGAGGATGCGAATCGGCTATCAAACCTGGCGTCATTATTTCTCTTGGTAATGTGCTGTTTATAGTGTCATTGATCTTGTATTTTAAAACTTGATGTGGGGTTTACTAGTCCCATTAGCAGGTTCTAAATAGGAATGGGAATAGCAACGATAGCAACAGTTACTTTTACTCCAACCGTAAATTACGTTTCCATAGCAACTAAAAGAAATGGTAGTTTGGTGTTAATGATAAGTGGCTTATTAATTCTCTGGTGTTTTTCTTTTGCACAGGGATGAGCTCATAACCTTGGTATGAAGCGAGAAGTTTAACTAGCGATCTGGCCACCTTGAGATGTACAGGGGGTTTAAGAGGTCTTCATGAATTCCTTGTTATGTGAATCATGTTAATCCTTGTGGGAAATTATGAATGTAGCTCATACCTTATACTCCTCGAATCTCCTTATATAAGCTTTCAATTGTAATCTCTGGATAATAATAAAAAAGAGTATTTGCCAATAAATCGTATGTGGTTAGCTTCCGAAAGTGTGAAAAACGTGTGGTAGTAATTATCCTGTGTACAAGAAAAGTTGCTTCCATTGAATTTTCCCAAATGAGGCCAGCTTTGGCTTTCCATAAGGCCACAACCACAAATATTTGCTTGGAAAAAACACTGGACACAAACTCTTGCTATAGGTGCAAATGTGTGATAAATGGACATCTCTTTATTGATGTTCTTAGATCCACCGCCTTTGATTTGCTACACCTTATGTAGAAAAGCCATCGTAAATGGCCTACCATTTCCCCGTCGTTAATTGTGATGTCAGTTTCCACATTGCCTTAGCTTTTCCACTCCCAGCTTGTTGGAAGAAGTTACACAAACCACCCATGCACTTGTTTTGGATTTTGATCTCATAACTTGATCTTGAATTTTATAGAGATAATGAGCCAACATCTTGAGGAGTATGGAACTTGAACCAAACTTTTAGAATGAATTTCTAGCACTCATCTTATATTCTCTGGGGCAACATTAAAATCTGGTTTCAAACTCTTAAGCCAAAACAAAAAATGAGAAACTTTGTCCAAATTCATGGCCGAAGACGAATGTCATGTCCTGGGACCCTTTGAAGCTGAAGATACCTTTTGCCAAACAAAACATCCCAAAAAAATCCAAACAATTCTTGAATAAACATCCTTGGAACCAAATAGGTGTGACTCCTTAGAGAAGATTTGCTTTGTACTAGCTTCACAAAATAAAACAAATAAAACGGTTGAAAAAGTTAATTATGTGTGGATGATTGATCGCGAGAATGAACGCTATCTCCACTCGATATTACTGCGTCTGCACAAATTGGTTAGTCGCATAAATATTAAATATTAAAATAAAGTCAAATAACAATAGAAAATACGCAAAAAGAGGTGGGATCCTACAGTCAAAAATTAGGGTACAACAGATGCCCCTATTTAAGTTACTTCTATCCGGAGATATGAAGATTGAAATCTTCGTCTCGACGTGATAGGAGGGACTTAAATACAAACATTGCACGAATTTTTGGCCCTAAGATACCACCGAATGCATATGATATGCAATGATATGAGAATGCGAGACAGAGCTCCTGTGGGGAAAAGACATCACGGGGGAACAACCAGACACGGCAGGCGGGAAGGACAGGCTTAACAAAACGAGACTCCACGAGGAAAGATTGACAATCACAAAGTGTCTGTAAATATGTTGTGAAGAACTTGTGGGAAAAATCTCTTGAAGATCCTAATGCATAGGTCAAATGTAATTGATTCGAGATATCAACTGGAAAAGTCTATTGTCAAGACTTGTAACTTAATAGTGAGAATACTTTTGCCAAAGTATCTGCTGTAAAAAACTTTTAAGGAATCTGCTGCCGAGATTCTGTGTTGAAGTTTACTGTATAAATACTTCTGACAAAGTCTTCTGGAAATCTGCTGCCGAGATTATCCAGGCAATGTAATAGAAATACCTACTACCGAGGTCTTCTGGAAATCTGTTGCTGAGATTAACCAGGAAATGTAAGATGTTCGAATGATTGTTGAAGCGGGTGAAACAACCTCCCCACGCCTCATGGTCTGGATGCCATGAACGGGTCTCAGTTTTGAAAATAAACCTCCCCGAGCGTCATGATCTGGATGCCATGAACTGGTATCAGTTTCTGAAAATAAACCTCCCTGAGCGTCATGATCTGGATGCCATGAGCTGGTCTCAGTTTCTGAAAATAAACCTCCCCGAGCGTCATGATCTGGATGCCATGAGCTGGTCTTAGTTCTTCCCGAAGTGATGAAAACTCGTGAGAGCATCTCCACAGGGGATTGAAAATTTTGTAGTTTGTAGAGTCATGGTAGATTGTAGATGTTGTTGTAGATGTTGTAGAACTTCTTGGCTGTGAGCCATAATGTGTTGTAAATTGTAGAACTTTGTAGATTGTAATTTGTAATGTATTGGAGATTGTAAAACTTCACCGGGGATCTTCAGGAGAGATGCGAGTCGGTTGAATTGTAAAGTATGTCTTCTCAAATAAAACTTCTTCGACTTCTCTAGGGAGATGTCGCTTGATGGAAGGAAACTTATGTGATGAACTCGCTGGGGAATACATTCCTGAGGAGCATCCTAGCTGTTGTAGAATGTCTGAATTCTCAAATAAAGAGAAATATCTGTAGGGTTTTCCATTTACCAAGTCGATAATCATTGGGGATGGACAAACTTTCTTGAGGAGATTGTCCTTTGTTATTTTGATAGAAAATCTGATTGAAAATGAGTTGCTCAAATAAAGAGGTTGCCTTCAATCTAGATGTAAATTGCTGAGAAAAATAGTGTAATATTGTTGGAGAAATATCCATCTTCAATAGTTATCTTCATAAAGATTCTCTTGGGGAGTCAAAGTGCAAAATAAATACACACTTAATCCAGATTCAAAAGTTGGAGATATTCACAAGGTGATTGCCAAGGACTGAATTTCAATCCAGGAAATAACTGAAGAGAAACTGTCAAGTAAAACTCGACCATTGAGGTATGAACTTAAATGGGATGTACTAAAATAACCGTCTTCCACGAGGATCAAACTCTGTGGGGAAATAGAAATATTATGTTCTTTCTACTTATGGCTGACAATTCTAATTGGAAGGAGAAGACGCGCCCAACCACTCGGAGATGAACACGGCCAAAGCGACAGAGCAAACAAAGACAAAGATGAAAAATGCACATGCCATGCTATCTATCTATATGCTATGTGTATGCCTATGCTGACAAAACAAACGGACAGAGGAAACCGGAGATGAAATAAACATCCCAAACCAAAACATCCGACCAATCTTCAAAGATAGAAGTATTACTGGGGATAGGTGGAGAACTGGAATATGGGATCACCATCCTGCTTTAGAGATTCAAAAAACTTCTGGGGAATGGAGAACATTCCTCCTGGGGATGTAATATCTTGATCTTACATCGAAGAAATTATCAGGATGAATCATATCTGTCTTGTTGAAGATGAGAATAAAGATCTACCAAGGGTGGATCAAACTCAAATATGGGGAACTCCATGGATAAAATAGATATCCATTTCACTGGGGAGATTCTGCTGCAGTTGTAGACGGAGATACCCGAATTGAGGTTTCAAGGGGATAAAATAAATATCCATCTCCATGGGGAAACCTGGGTAAAATAGATGTTGAACATGTCGTAGTTGAAACTTCATTGGGGGATGAAATAAACATCCGCCTCACTGGAGAAGATTGGCGTTGTAGAAGATCCACTAGGGAGCATAATACATCCACATCACTAGGAAGGTGAAGTTGGAGAAGATTCACTGAGGATTAAACATCATCCACTTCATTGAGGAGGTGAAGTCAAACAGATCACCGATAATTCTGCATCAAAAAGCTTCGTCGAAGAATTGTCATGACCACCAAAAATAAAACTTATCGGGGACATGAGGAAGAATGTTGTAAGAACGAAGTAATTCTGCCTTGATAAACTGCGTAATAGTCTTCATTTGAACAACGGGTGTTGTGAATGGATAAGATAATCTCTAATTCTTGAATGCCCCAAGCCATATGGTTATGAGAAGAAGTCGTTCTAAGAGGATTTTACAGAAAACATGGCGTCCCATTGTTTTCAAACTCTCTGGAGAGATTCGCCGAATCTCGACGTAACTGGCCCTGATTGATGGTACTATGACCGGGTCT